CCCCAAAACCCCAAAACCCCAAAACCCCAAAACCCCAGAGGGGCCGAATTCAATAGAATAATTCAGTACAAATATTATTCACTAAGAGCTGTTGCTCTTCAGTTTTGTGATCGATTTCACAGAGTACCAATCATTAGCTTCCTTTAACTTCATAATATGGTCGATCTTCTTCTTCCTTCGTTTGTTTCTAAAGATGAGGTAGAGAATTAGTCTTACTGTAAGAATGTTTTGATTCCTTGGAAAATAATGCTCGCCCAGTTTAGAAAGATGGTGGAGATTAAGACTCCAATGAATACTTTCCCGATAATTCTACTCTCAGTTGGAGTCATTACTGGGTTAACGAATCTAAATGATCCAAAAATCATCAGGATCAGTAAGAATTCATTGCTGATGCTAAGGAAAGTGGATAGTGATGACTCGTATGGTTTTACAATGATCAGATATCATGCCATTGCTACTGTGAGTATTGATGCGCTCATAATTTGAAGAAGAGGAGTAGAATACAGCAGAACTAGAATTGATGCATACACTCCTCTTCTAAAATAGAAAATACTGACGAACTGAAAACACATTGGGCCTGAAGTTTTTAGACCAGAGATGATGGTCTTATATCTCTTCTTGAAAGTTTTAGAGTTCAAATCTCCTGCTTTGTAGATAATATTGAATGACTTTATTGGAACATAGATTACTGCAAACATCCCCACTAGAGCTCAGAAATTGTTAAAATAATTAACATTGGTCCCACTCCATGAAATCTATAGATTAATAATAAATGTTACAATATAGAGGTTCAATACAGATCAAAGAAACAAGCTCAAGTAGAACTGAGATACACTTCTAATAAGGAACCCATATCGAATTTTAGTGTCTATCATCCTGACTATTTTCCCTCTAAATATTATACAAAGTTATTACATTCTAGATTCAGACCACAGATCAAAGAGAATGAATGAAATCCCCATGGAGAAGAACATGATGATCCATAGCTCAATTTTTCTTCCTGAATTCATAACCAAAAGCTCAGTTTTGAATCCTAAATAAATCATGAGGAGAAGGAATATTAATTTGGTAAATTCTTTTCAGAAGGACCAAAGCTTACCCATTGTCTCAAAATATTTATTGAATGGCTGCAACCCAGTAGTATTGACAGTGCTCTCAAATAAGTTGGGAATACCTCCAGGTTCACCATGAAGAATTGCTAAATTTTTAGAAAATTCTCTGAAGTTTCCTGGTAAATTTACGTTGAATAAAGGTACAAATGACATCAACTGGATGCATCCAAAGAGGAGCCAAGTTGCTTCAATTTTACTTCCAAAAATTACAGAAATAGCAGTGCTAGATCCAAAGGCAAGTAATAAGCTCAAAATGCTTGCTCCCGATTGTGTATTAGTAGCCTTCTTTTCCTCTTCTGATAAAACTTGTTTAAAGAATGGGATTGTTATAGTGGTTTGTTTGTTAGACAAAGAATTTCCATCTAAGTCTATGAACATCTCTGGATTATTGAACGTGACAATTATAGTCTCTATAGACATGAGATTTAGCATCTTACCATGGTGATCCCCAAGCAGACTTGATAAAAACTCAAACTGTATTTTAAACTTGATGTTTATTTCTCCAGGCACATAGTCTGTAGCTGGGTTTATATAGAATTTGAATTCATAAGGAGCAAGAGGTCCTTCAATATCAATTGAGATATCTCCTTCATTATATTCTCCAAATGTTACTTTTTCGTTTAATAAAACAGAAGCTAATGAGCTATATTGATTAATAGATGCAAGCTCTGCTATTGGTACAATAACACTGGCACATAAGTCTGGTCTGTATTGATTTCCTCCGTCACAACTCCAGTTGGTTTCCACTGTTCATTGGCTACTTCATCCATCTCCATCAGCATTGTTTCCGTCATCACATTCGATAAACCCAAGATTGTAACCTTTGCCACATTGCTCAATACATGTATTTGAAAGAGATTCAAAATAGAGGCCTGAGTTAATCTCTGTTCATAACAGACAGGTGCCTGTTGGCTGATTAAGAAATCTTGAAAATGGGCAACTAAGACATTCTTCACTATTTGGCCCACTACATTCCTTACAGTTCTTGTGACAAGGTTGGCAATCCTGGCTTGTTTTATCATAATAGTATTGCTCAGGACAGGTTAAATACATTCAGGTGTTCGGATCTGTAAGAACATATCTATTATTGGTATTTCAGGCAGTTCATTGTGTTGATAATGGTCCATATCAACTCAATCAGAATGGATGGCACTCTTCTCATTTTAATGAGTTAACATTTTTATACAGCTTAGCAGGACAAGGATCTACTCACTGACCATTATATTCAGAATATAAATGCGTTGAGTTTGATTTTCATTCTGTACAATCTAAGTCGGTTGGGCCAGTTCATTTTCCTCATGCTGAATTACAAGCTAAAGATATAAAAATTGAATTTTACGCTGTCACGAATTATCTGATGTATCACCATAATACCCATCTGGGCACACTGTTTTTCACATAGTTTGATATTTAAAATACTCAGGTTGGCATGCCAAGCAGTCATCAATATCTGGGCCATTTCAGGTTTGTCAACTGTTGTGGCAGTAAACTAAAAGTCCATAAAACTCTGAAAGCAGTAAAAGCATTAAATATTACAAACTTTAAAGCTTTCAGACAAAAGCTCATACCAAAAATCTTCTACTCTAATGATATAATTATCTTGTTATTGTCGATTCAGACCATGTACGATATGTTCACAGTTTTTATTGTTCATTAAATTTAAATTTTTTAATATTTCAAAAATTATCTAAGCTGTAAAATTCTTACATTTCGACTCTATTGTGATAGTTGCAAAACCCTCACGGTTCAAACTATCCCTTGCATATAATCTTAAAATAATAACTTCATGAGTACTAGTTGGATAAGTTCCAAAAAATTCAAAATTGCCACTAGCGCTTGAATGGGGATCTGAAATCGTGAGCCATGATGGAGGTGGAGTAAATCCATCATTAAGTGTCACCCAATAGGTTGAGATCGGCTCATAATGTGAAATAATTGTATTAGGAATTTCATAATAAGAAAATTCTTTTACCATAAATTCTCCATTTCTATCCAAAATTATTGGATTATCTCTTGGTCTATAATTGAGCTGAAGAGTAATATCAACTACGACAGGATCATTGTAGTCATCTCTAGCAATCAACTTGAGCATAATCGGACCAAAGAGATCTCCAAATGGAGTGTATGATAAGTTCCTTGTAGTTGGATCAAAGTTAATCCAAGAATTATTAAGTGCACTTCCATCTGCATTAATAACATTATAGCTAATTGGGTTTCCTTCATCATCTGTAAAAGCAGGAAATGTAGTGAAACTTGGAGTATCTTCATATCCAATTAGAGAAGTTTGAATTCCAGAAGGTATATTAGGGGACTTGTTCTCAGTAATAACTATAGTTAGTATATCTGAAATTAAATCAAATCCATCTAAAGCATTAACTTGCACTCTGTGCGTGCCTCCAACGTCAGAAACACTTGCACAACCAGACACAGTCAAAATATTATTTGTAGAAATAGTTGCAGACACAAAAGAAGGAGGAGCTGGACTAGAAACTATTTGATAAGTTAGTACTTGATTAGGGTCTACTTCATTGAATACTTCAGTCAAATTAAATGTTTCTGTGAAGGTAATATTATCTTCATGAGTAACTGTTCCCATTGGTGAAACCACTTGAGGAAGATTATTTATGATACTTGCTATGAATTCCTGGGTTGCATTATAGTTCAAATCATTTGTTCAAATCAGTTTTATAGTTGCTGTATTAGTTGCACTAGCATCAAAGATGAACACTTTAGTACTTGCATCAAAGATGGCCCAAGAAGGTAATGGACTTCCATCAGAAAGAGTAGCAGAGTATACGAGTACAGAAGGATGCCCATCAAGATTCTTGAACATTTGAGAAACATCATAAGTTATATCTGTGTTCAAAGCTGTTGTTTGTTGGTCTACAACAGTTTGATTGATTTGAGGTGGAGGTCCTGTTACATTTATTTGAACTGTTATATTATACTCTCCGATCTCTCCAATGTTAGTAAGGAATTTCACTATATTAACTCCTTGAATGCTTCATGGAATATTAGAAACTGCAAAGGCACCTTCTGGAGATATTGAGGCCCATGTTACTGGATTATCAGAGCTATCCCACACTATATTGGTATAAAATACGCTTCTAGCAAACATTTCTATGGGATTATCAACTCCTTACGAGTAGAATTGAGTGTTCAAGTTGCGCTATATTTACTCTCAATGGCAATATCAAAGGCCCTCGATGTTTCTATTGATTCAGCTCAACTTTTATTAAAAGAATCAATCTCAGTTGCTAATGGGTTAGGGGACACTTCTGAGTAAGAGCCTCAAGAATATTCTTGATATAGGCCAACTAAATGTCAATCTATTTTTATAAAATACCTTCTTGATAATCACTTATAGCATAACCTACAGATAAAGTAGCATACCTATTCAACATTTAACAACGATACTTACATTGTTGATACTGGGCCGATATCTATTGATCCTATATTTTGAGAGAATAAGAAAATTCCTAGGAAATATCATGTAAAGCTTTAGTATCCTTTAAAAGATTTCAAATAGTAGTAGTAAGAACCGTTATATAGATATTCAATGAATCTTAAGCCAAGATATTGAGTTTTTAATAGTTTGGATAAATTATTCCTGTTTTAGAAAAATATCTTAGAAACATTCTTTCACACAAATTTATATTTTCAAGAGGGATTTTTATGAGATTTTGTGTTTATTTAATTTATGAAATATTAAGATTTTAGCAAAATATATTAGAATTTTCGAATACTTACTTGGAGATTCATAGAAAAATCGATCTTCATTTAATTGGGCTGTACCAGCTATTTGAGGTTAGAAATAAAGCAGCTTTACTTGAAGGATGGACAACCCATTGCCCAAGTCAAGAGTTTCCATCTGACTAGAGATTAGAAATTGATTACTTCTGAAAATTTAGACACTATGTAGGGATCCATAGCTACCCTGTGATAGTACAGAGTTGAATTGTAGGATGATATAAATGAGTCTCCATGTAATACCTAAAAGTTACAATATCCTCTACTGATGAATAATAAACCTATATTTAGTTATATTAGTGTTCTGTGAATATATTTAACTATAAAATTCGAAATTTTAATATATACAGGCAGACTTACATTAATTTCTGCTCCATCAGAGATATTAAATCTCAAAATCACGTTATTTTGACCTATGATTATTCCAAATTATTACTTTTAGTAACGAGAAAGCCTTCTGCATTATCATTTTGATAGAAAAACACCTCTCCGTCGGATGTTGTTAGTCTTGACATTGAATAGACCACAGAAGAATTGCCAATATTATCAACTGGTGAGATGAGAGTGTAAAAGAGTTGGTGAACTGATTCCTAAAGTATTTCTTAATTTCGCTTACAGAAGAATACCAAATGCTTCCATATATCTATAATAAATCAGGCTCTTCAGATCAGTGTGTAAAAATTCTATTGCTGCATGAATTTATTTATGATACATTTTAATAAATTCAAATTTAAATAATTTGAGCAGGTAGAAATCAAACGTAAAGCCGTATTATTTGGAAGGTTAAAGATTTGGTTATGATTATTGTGTCTCAAGCAAACTCTTATAAATTAATATCTTCTTTGTAAAACAACAGGTTAAATTTGAAATATGGTAAATTTTAATCAAATTTCACTCCTTACCAGTGCTCTTTCTCCACTTGGTGCTAAAATTGATCAGTTAAAACACTTTTAATGAACAGATATTCCTTCAGATCATTTAGATAGTAGAGATACGACTTAATTAAATTTGACATCAACATTATTCTATTTAAAATGGAAGAGTTCTTACTGTTCACTCCATCAAGACCGGCAAAGTTGAAATTTTGACTATATAAGTTATTCGGTGTTCATCTTTAGACTTACCTTTGTATAGCGGTTAGCTCTTGGGTTTTATGAGTAAAATTTCCGATCCAGATATAAAAACCTGCAGGAAAATAGATTGAATTAGAGCCAGGCGAAATATAGGATAGTGACACTATAAAATAAATAGGAATAGTACCTATAGTGTTATCAGACAGAATTATGGATCCTGCCAAGACCATTGGGATGAATTTGGTTCCTATAAACATCTTCAATAAGAACGAAAGTCTGGAATTTTGCATTCGAGCACTTTCAATCAATAATTCCAATTTTAATAAAAAAATTAATTCTAATGTCTATTCTAACTTTCAGGTTTCACAGATATTTCTTTTGGTCTAATACAAATACAATAGATTGTGAGACATAAATGTCAAGATTATTTTGCCTACCTTCAATATTAGTGCCGTCATTGTAAGAACCTACTAGATAGGAAGCCGCATCAGTTTGCAAGGTTGATGTATTTACCTTGTTAATGAACTTATAGGCAAAATTAGATAAAATAAACAATAGCATGAGTATTCATAAATTAACATTTTTTAATTGAAGAAAAAGAAGATTATTTACCATATTTTCATATGTAGAAGGATATAGATGTCCTGCGAAATGGAAGATTCAAAAATGTCCAATTGATGTGAACGGTTTAAGTAGCTATAGCATTAACCTTCTTGATTACTCTAACGTTAGTTTCTCGCCTTGTAGTCAGACCATCGTCAGAATTTGTTTCAAGAGGGATATACTTCACTTCAAAGGAAGGTGGGTTCCCAGGAGTGATTGCACAGAATGCTGGAAAAAACTTTGATTCGTAAATGTGCTGACCCACAACAATAAATTTGTTGGCTCCTGTATCAGCGTAAGCTTGCAAACCTCTGAATCCAGAGTAGCCACTTATGGTTATAGGAAGAATCTTGTTTGCAAATTGACCGGAAGCATCATATGGGTTGGTTGTTTTAGCTAAAGAATCAAATTAGAGAAGTTGAAAGATACTTAATAGCTAAGATAGAGATCATAAATAGAATTAGAAACTCTGATTTACAAATAGATGATATATTCTTGAGGAGATAAAAGAAGTCAAATTTTGGATTATGCATAAAAACTTGATTCTTCAAATTTTTCAAGATGCCTAAGAATTTTTCAAAAAGTATTAAGGTCTTAATTTTTTTACACAAATTCCTTTTACTCTTATAATATAAAAACTATTAATTTATTGATAAAAGAAGACTGCTGTCATTATAAAAGGAGTCAATTTTTTTAAAATTTTTTTAAAACATTGAGAGATGCTAAACCAGCTACAGAAAATTGGATTTGAATAAACCAGTTAATTCTCTTCAATATCTAAGATCAATCATCAATCAAACCACAGAGAACTGAAAACTTTATCTAAGATAGTACTGGTCTCTGTAAGGCTTAAATCGTTCGATTCTGAGAACTATCTTGCTTACATTTGAGGACGAATACTGAAGCCTTAACCGTATTTCCGGAAATAATTTCTAAATTTTAGAAAACTTCATACCTGATTTTTCATAGAAAAAGAGCTCATAGCCACTAATTCAGCAGGAGTGTCCCTGAAATGTCAGACTGCTGTCATGGGTGTACTGAAATGCATCATCTCAGTTACCACTTAGGACAAGTGGTAACAGTCAAAGAACTATAGTGATGTTAATTTGGCTATCAAAATTTGCCTTCTAACACTAAGTCTCAGAGAAAGCCATAGCAGAATTCTTGGCAGACATAATAAAAATATAATGCCAACTTTTCATAACTGTAAATCTTCAAAAAATTCTGAAAAATAAAATTAGCCTACCACAAAATCAATAAAATTCATGATTCATTTATCCTATCACTTAAAAATTCTTAAAAGTATTTAACCCCAAGCAATGAGGTCTCTATTACCCCCATCTCCAACCAGCATTCTCCATAAGCCCAACATGCTCTTACCCCCTAAATCCCCATTCCTAATTTTACCCCAACCTCCCTTAAAATCTTCATGAAATTTTCAAAATAATCTTCTCTCAAAAAAGTAAATCTAAATTATGAAAAATTCGTAAAAACCCGATATGAATAAAAGTGGCCTACAGGAAGGAATTTAGGAGTGGAGGGGTTAAGAGTGGGGTTGGGGTTAGAGGGCTTATTTGGGGAAGGTGGGTAATTGGGGATATGAAGATTTTCTTGGGGGTTATTGAGGAGGGGTAGGAGAAGGAAGGGTAAGGAGGGGTGAGGAGGGGTGAGGAGGGGTTAGAGAGATGGGAGGGGGTTTTAGGTGTTTTGAGAGTTTTAGAGTGGGAGAGGGTGAAGGTAATAATTTAGACTATTAATTTTAGGACAAGTTTAGAAGTTAATAATGTAGATAATAATTTACGCATGTTTTTAGGAGATTTTATGCGTGGAAGGAAATACAATAAGTCATTGATCATTAAATTTTATGCAAATTTCTCTATAAAAACAACACTCATAAACTCTATTACTCATACCAAAGCCATCTAACTCCTCCAAACCTTGCTGCTCCTTTGCTTCCCAAACCCATTCAAAACCTATCTAAATTCTTCAAATCCCTTTCTAAATTTCCTAAATTCCCCCACAAAAGAGGTCTAGCCAACCCCTCCTACTAGCTTCAAGAGCTTCTCTGCAGTGTTGGCCAAGATGCAAAATTTCAATAACCTTACCTATAATCATGGCTTTCATATTTAATTTTAATAGTAATCTTTTGCAGTTATGGGCTCAAGCTGCGGGGTTTTGGGGTTTTGGGGTTTTGGGGTTTTGGGG